TTTTTTCCACACTGGGCTGTCTAGTAGATTTAAAGCACAAATTTGCTCTTTGCTGTTATTTTTAAAACACATGTGAATTTTTTCCCTTTTAGCTTTTAAAAATTTGGCAGGCCATCTATATGCCCTCCCCCATCAGTTTTTCAAATGATGTTTTTGCACCACCTAGTGGTTTTGAGTTATTTTAAATACAGGGGAAGCTGTTTTGGCTGTACACCAAATTGCAAAATCCATGTTTTTGATTATACCTTTATAAGGCCAATTAAAAAGGCACAAAATTCTTTGGACAAGTTTTTGAGATTTAAAACATCTTTCTGTTACGACATGATGTTACAAAAAGCGGGATGTGGAGAAGCTCAACAGTAGAGCAAAGTAGTCTGAATGCGGTCTTTATAATGAGGAAGAAGTGGCAGACATTATAGACATTAAGGCTTATCAAGTGTTAGATTTCCCACCCTCATGGCCTCAGGTTTTGCTTGGAAGAAGTTAAAAAAACTAAATTCTGAGTATGTGTTTTGAAAATACAATGATTCCCTTGTATCCCAAAGTTCTTTACGTCCAGTTTAAAGCACACAGCCTCTTTCTAGGGTGAGAGCAGAAGGTCTTAGGCAGTTTTCGTACTGTAATGAATTTAGAATAGAGAAGTACAGAAGTTCCCAACTTTCTGGTAGTTGCAGTGCAAGAACACCTGGGTCATCCCTGGTTGGGAACCACTGGAAGAGATGATCAGGCAAAGCAAGTCATTCTAAGTCAATCTGGTGGGTTTTCATTGTTTAAGAGGGACGACCCTTCAAAGACCAAAGACTGGAGCATGAGAGCATGCCATCTTCTTCTGCCAGTGCACGGTGCCATTTCTGGAAAGGCTAGATTGGAGCATCCTGGATGATAGCATGGGCTGGGTAACCGCAACCCTAACAAGAGCCTTCCGCGTTGCAAAATGTTGCTTCACACTTCCTTGGTCAATAATATTAGAGTTTGACACAATTTAAACACATTTGATGGCTTGGAATCTAATACCTTCTTCCTACAGAAGAGGGGGGGAGAGAAACTGTTGCAGTTTTGAATTCCTGGTTAAAATTCCTTTCCCTACACAGTGGATGTACAGAGATTCACAGGGCAGGGCAACTTCGAGTTCCCCAGGCAATCCACTCCATTCTCATTAACTGGCACTTCAGGTCTCAATAACTCACTCTGAGACATTAGCAGAAGAAAATAAAAAATAAAAACAGTAATTACTTACAGTTGTGAGCAGATCAACAGCAAGCCAACAATAGTGCTTCCAACAGACTTAGCAGAAGGGCAGGGCTCTCTTTGAATTCAGAGGCTTGAGGGAATGATTAGATAGTGCTGGACAGATTCATTCACTCCAGCCCAGAACAGTCCCTCCCCGTCAAACACACTACAAGCAGCGTGCAAGGTGGTACAAACTTCAACAGAAACTTTATCACACCTTCTCTTCCCCACCAAAGCCCCCTCCCTCCTTCCCAGGGATGTCATAGACTAGAGCCAGGTATCACAGAGTTGAAACGCTAGAACTTTGTTGTTGTTGTTGTTGTTGTTGTTGTTGTTGTTGTTGTTGTTGTTGTTGTTGTTGTTGTTAGTATGAACAGTGACATTGCCCACCGGTGCCAGCCCAGGCTTCTCTGCTTCCTCTGAGCTGAACCCCACACACACACGCTCGAAGAAGCTTAAAAAGAAGTGGATTTCCCCAAGATTTGTTGTGAGGCAAAGTCTTTGAGGTGAGTTTGGTCTTCGGTGGGCAACCAAGGGCTATCAAGCTTTACAAAAGACTTGCTTGATCTTTTCTTGACCCGGACCGACCCAGATGCTTCCTCAAGAGTTGGGAGACCCTGCACCATACAAGTGGGGTGCAGCGAGGGCAGAAAGGGGGAATTATCGCCTAAAATCTGGCAGCTGCTTTTTCTGGGAAGGCAATTTGGTCGCCAGCCTGACAAAAGTGCGCGGCTTTCCCAAGCCTTCGTTATACGGGTACAATCCGGGTACTTCAAGGTTGGACTGGAAATCTGCAGCGAGATATTTTCTGCAGATACTTATTTTCATATAATTCCGAGTGGCAAAACATGTAAATTATAAACTAAGGTACGGAGAAGGGAGGAGGGGGGTTGAAAAATCGGAAAATAAGCTGCAGCGAACAATAGCCGAGTTTTATTTGTAAGCTCGAGGAATATGTTTCTTTAGTAAAAAAAGAGTTCCAGAAGCAGAATTTCCTGCGGGGGAAAAGAGTTTCAGTCGTTTGAAACTATTTAAAAGCGGAGATAGAATGTTGGAAACGTGGGACGAAGGGTACAGTACCATTCATTTGGATAGGCAGAACTGATAGGTGGCTCCATAGCTCAGTGGTTAGAGCACTGGTCTTGTAAACCAGGGGTCGCGAGTTCGATCCTCGCTGGGGCCTTCCTGTTTTTATTGTTTTATTTTAATGTTATTATTTCTAAATATAATTCAGCGCAACATATTTAGCGTCAGCTGAAGCTTTTTGATAATATTCTGTGCTTATACATAATAACATCCTGTGAATGCCGTGGGGAGTTATTTTCTTTAGTTGATGCGAGTACAATATAATAAACGCCGTTTTTATCTTTCTTTTGATGGGAGCTTAGACTGTATTTTCGTTTCCAACGGCTCCTTCAAAAATGCGGCCAAGCGTCACGAATATCAAGCCGGTTTCTTTGGAGGCTCAAAAGGCCCGCGGGCGGGCTGTGTTTGTTGCAAAGGCTGCCGTTACACTCTAATGCCAGCAGGTGGTGGTGCAGAGCAATGGATCTTTGGTGCGATGGTTCGTGGAAAAGAGTACAGCGGGTGGGGGAGGTTCGTTCGTTGGGGTCAAAACCATCCAGACATTCGTGTTGGACTGTGCATCTGCTTATTAGTTTTCATCGGTGGCGTACAGGTTTGTTTTTGAACCAGAATTTCCTGGGCACTTCTGAGAATTGTAGTCCAAAAAAACCCCAAAAACCCAAATCTGAATGCCTTACCTCTCGACTGAAAATAGGGTTCCACATTTAGTTTGATTTCCCCACGCTGTTTTGTTTCCAGAGTTGGGGGGATTTACACTACAAATCCCAGAATCTCCCAGCTAGCATGGCCCCTTGGGATTCTGGAACATGTAGTTCATATACAGCATTCAGTTATCTTTATAGGGGAGCCGGTAGTTCATATTCACTCCCTTCTGGCTCACCATTTATTCACACACTGTGCTACAAAGCTCCAAAGCAGAACATTTTACAAGCAGCAAAGTGTGCATGCGTACACATGCACACACGGGTCTGGACAGTGGGAAAGGAAAGCAGGGTTTCCTTTCTCCCCTCCTTCTAAGGATGCATATCCTCCACCCCATCAACTACTTGGAAATTCAATATACGTGAAAACCGGTTTTCAGCCTTTGGCCTTCTAAACTGGATGTTGTGAACTTCCCACTAGCCATCCTGACTAGGGTTTGTAGGAAATGAAATCCCAAACATCTGGAGGATCATAAAAAGCTGAGGACCACAGATCAGAACAAGCTGGTTGAATCTAGAAGCCAATACCTCTTTCTTCCTGAGTCCTGACACTCTGCCCCTCTGTGTTTCAGCTGCTCTTGGCTATAGACACAGGCGTCTGGGCTGTGGTCTTCCAAGGCTGAGGACTTGGAGTCAAGGGACTCGCTGTCAAGTTGGACTGAAGTCACACCGGGAACTTGACTCAGGTTCCCCCACCACCACCATGACTCTCACTCGACTTGCAACTTAGAACCCCCCCCCACACACACACACACCCCTCCCTTTTTTCTGGGGAGAAAAAGCTTGTTTTTAATAGGGACTCATTCCGGTTGTGTTAGAATCAGAGTTGCAAGTTAATGCAGTTTCAGCTACAACTCATGAGCAACAAGTAACATAAATAGGAGTTACAGTTATTTGTAGATGCAAATAGTAACAACTAGTTACATTAAAATGTTACTTTCAAAATATATTTTAAGGCTTTCCAGAGGCATTTTGAGATGATTTTTTTTAGGTTCTAGACCAGGGGTTTTAAACTCAATTTACCTGGGGGCCGCTAGAGACAGAGACTGGGCCGCATCAGATTTTCCACAAAGCAGAGCAAGAGCCCGAGGAAGCCGCCCAGGAGTTTCCTTAGCCAACAGACAGGTGGGCTGGCTGGCAGGCTGCAGTTCTGGATGGAGGGTGCAAGAGGTGCTGTTTTGGGAGAGAGCCGGCAAGCGAGGCAAGGCTTTTTTTTTACTCTTGACATCAGAGGATGTGTGGGCGCTTTGGGGGGGCAGGCAAGGCGAGGGCCAAAAACTATCATCTGGGGGGCAGCAAATGGCCCCCGGGCCGCATGTTTGAGACCCCTGTTCTAGACTCTTCTTTTATCAGTCATAAGTGGCAAGGGACACATTATTTACTTTTGTCTTCTGCAATTTTAATAACTATCTCCAAAGTGTAATATCAAAATTAGCCACGGTAGTATTTTCTTGCATTTTTCCGGCTTGCTGGTAATGAAAAAGCAACACATGGAAAAGAAGGAATTACTTGCCCCACCTGAGTTCCAGTAACAACAAGCTGGCTGCCAAGAAGTAATGACTACAGCAGAAGTTACTTTTAAAATGTAACTTCCCAAGCCCTGAATGGAATGTAGTTGAGATCTTGGAAGAACATAGACTTATGTGTGTGTGTGTGTGTCACTCTGTAGGACTGATGGGGAAACGTTTTCCTGACCACATCAACATTACTGGGGGCAAAACTTGTGACTCTCCATTGCAGGGGTGGGTGTGGCCAGAACCAGGGCAGAGTTGTACGTGTGACTCCTTCCCTTGATTGCCTATGCAGTCATGAATGAGGATGTGTATCCAGGCATTTTTGTTTCACAACCTGTGAAAGCTTTCTTCTATCATCTTTGTAGTTGCCAAGTGCAAAACAGTTGTTCATCAATGAAATCCTCAACAAAAGCTAAAAGCATTCCCATTTCAACAAACGATTGCTTTACAAGTGACCCATACAAGCACATACATTTTGCTATATTTATTTTTGTCCAGTATTTAAGTGAAACGGGGTGGTGGGAGCGGAGGTGGCTTCTTTAGAATCATACAAGAGCTGATGCAAGAAATCAAACTGTTGGAGTAGGAATATTCAAAATATAAAAGGCGGGTAACTTTGCTAATTCTCTGTTGTTAAAATGCAAACCTAGAGTAGTAGAATATTTGGCTTTTTGCGGAACACTCAGTTTTCTGTACTCATTTAGATCCTACTTTCTCTCTCTCACAATGATTAGAATATTTTCTGGCATAAAGTTCTTAAAGTAGACTTCACTATCATTTTTATTATGTTTTTCCCATTATAATCCATAAATGGTTGAATTCCCAAAGAGACAGTTTACTGCTTTACACTGCTGTAGCCTCACTGGCATCTCTCCTAGCAGTCTATAGCAAGTGGTCATCTGATGGCTTTTTTAAACTCATAGAATGATCCTGAAAGGCAAGTAAATACAATGTAAAAACCTAGGCTGGAAACTACAATTATTTTTCCTGATTAAATGTACAAGTTGCATCTATTACAGCCAATGGCCAAGCAACTATTTAAGCTAACGTTCAGTACTTCCTGTGCAAATGTTTCATGAAATCTGCACACAGATGAGAATCTCTTAACTAAGGATAGCTTCATTTGTTCTGCTATCTGTTCCATGTTTCACACCATTCCTTTTGATGATTATTCTGTTGACTACACACAAGCAGCACTAACTGCAAGCAGATCTGATCTTTTGGCATGAGAATGTGATATGTTTTGTTCATCCAGCATGGCACATGGTTTTTAGTATGTTTTCACTCACATTATTTGGCATATGTGGTGGCCTGTGTCAGTCCTTTGGGGCAGTTGCTGAGCATGTTGAGAGGACATCACTGACAATTCACAAAGTGGGAAAGGATGTGGGAGGCAGTGAACACTATTCCTTTTGTCTATTTTTTGCACACAGTGATAAATACTGCGACTACAGTGCAAATTCAAATTGTATTTCTAAAAACATTTCTTATCTGAGTTTAGTGCTAAGTTGGTGCAGCACTAATTAAAATGCTTACCATGTCTTGTCCGTTTAGCGCTATTTCACTTGCTGATAATTTTTGTTAAGAAAGAAAGGATTTGAATACCATGGGAAGGGGTGGGTAAGAGGATGATGATAATAATGAGGGAGGAAGGGGCCTGTATGATGCGTGGACTCTTGAGACACACCTTCCCAGGATAATTAAATGTTTCTTTCTGACGCAGCAGTGATTTAAATGCCAGGGAGCAGTACAAAGAAGGCTAACCTAGGACAAATGTCTCTGTGGTCATGCCCTAGGAGCACATGGAAGCAAAATGAGTTGTCCAGCAATTCCACTTACATCCACATTGCTTGATTCTTCAATGCACAGAGCTGGTAATTCAAAGGGTACTTCTTAAGTTGACCCTCCTTCTCTTTTTCTTCCTTGTCTGTGTTTCTCTCTTAGCTGCTGACCTCGACTTAGGGGACTGAAGGGACTTCTTTTTGGCTCTGGCTGACCGTGAGCCTTTCCTCTTCGGCAAGGATGTCTCTGCCTGAGATGTATGTCGACTCCTTCCTTTTTGCGCTCGCCCATCCAACTTCGAGGCCCGGCCCGCCTGAGCTGCCTGCTGTTTTTTACCAGGCTTGGTAGGCTTTGCTGGCCTCTGCTTAATTGAGTGTTTGCGGGATCCTTGCTTCTTGGACTTTGATCCTGAAGAAGCTGGGGACCGTTCTGTTGAGTTGGCGGCTGTTTTAGGTGATTGGGTTGTAAGTTGTTCCTTCAACAGTTCAAGCACAGTCTCTGTAAAAAGATTTTTTTTTAAAGTTGCAGTCTCTGTGATTGATTGATTTAAGGTATTTTTACCCATTTTTATCCTAAGAAAGGACTTAAGACAGCTTACATCTTTCAAACACAGTATTAAAACTGAAGTAGTATTGATGCATCAGAAGAGGGGGAAAGGTTTTAAATATATGAAAGCAACAATATTACAGTATTATTTAACAGATTCTAGATTTCACACACACATAAACAATTTCTGGGAATTCTGAAGCCTGACATGTTTAACCTGCAAGGGGAAACTGCAGATCAGACATTTGGCCGGGAAACGAACCACACCAAAACAGCAGTTTGTGCCCATCTCTATTTTTAACTGATGAAACAGTCATAGTCATATTTATTATGCATCACTCTGGTATCCATAAGGATGAAAGGAAATGTCCAAATTATTACGGTTAACAAAAAAGGAACAGACTCTTCCTTACAGTGGTGCATCTTCATATTTGTCATACGTAACCAAAACAAACATTGTTTTCAGAAACCTTCATTGACTTACTTGCATGTGGAGTGAAGGACATTCGCTTGCTCTTTGTTTTCACTGGAAGAGGTTTTTGTTTGCACTTCCCTGGAGGAGCTCTCCTAGAAGACAGATTCAGTCACAAAAACCACATGTGGAAGTTGGCAAAGAACGGTATTTTCTGCCTCTAAAGTCATGAGCCTTCGGTGGAAATATTTTACCACAAGAACGTCTTGTCTCTAGAGCATCTATGTCCTTCCCCAACCTGTTGCCCCCTCAGTTTTCATCAGCTACAGCCAACATGGTCTAGTTGCTCTGTGTTGGAGTGGTGGAACTTGTGATCCACCTCTGGAGGATGGTAGTTTGAGAAAAGCTGGAATCAAACATAACTCCAAAGACACATATTCTGGTGGGAAAAACTCGTTCAAAGCTTCCACCACCTCACTGCCTTTTTACAAGAAGACTGCAACCGTGCATTGTATAGAAGGTTAAGTTAGGGAACATCTGAACCTTTGGATGAATTGGGCTTTAATTAGCATCAGCACCTTAATCCTAGAACTGCATAGTTTGAAGGGACCTTCTGGATCATTGAGTCCAGCCCTTGTCCAGGAGGCACGGTGGGGAATCAAACTCCTCATCTCTGGCTCTAAAGTCAGATACCTAAACTATTAAGCTAAATATTTGAAGGGTCAAAGGTTCTGCAGCCCTGACATGCAGGGAAATGATGGCACAATTCATCATCATCATCTTAGAACTGCAGAGCTGGAAGGGACCCTATGGAGGATCGAGTCCAGCCCCTGTCATGGAGGCACCAAATCTCTAAACTACTGAGCTATAAATACAGCATAATCTTCTGGGTTAGATTACCAAAGGGAAGTCACCGTTTTTTGAAACATGGGTCCAATCTTCCCCTACTGTGGTCAGTAATTAATGCTTCACACATTTGTCTTTTGGCCATCCTTTAAGAAAAGAAGCTAAAGAAACAGACTGTATAAAATATTACTTGCTTTTTAGCCTTCTAAATGTGGCGTGCTAGTACTTGGACCATCCTGACTCCTTAACTTCCGTAAACAGTTCTCATGTTTGTTCTAGATTTATCCCTGAGTTTCAGCCGAATTGAATTCTACGGTCGGCCTCAGCTTTAAAATAAATATAACCTCAAATAAGTACACAGAGGAGCATTTTCCTCGGCTTCCTAGGCTATGGATCGCCAGGGTCTCTTGCAAGCCAACTTGCCTTGGGCACAAACAGGGAACAGGATTTCCTCCAGCAGTCTCCTGCCAATCTGGAACCCTAAAGCTCCTTTGGGCTGCTTACTCCCATTATCCCTAGCCAGGGCACCTGAAGCAGGCTTTGAAACAGGCACTAGAGGAAATGGGCACCCAGAGTTACTGAAATGAGATGTGTGGCAAATTAAACACAGGTCATGCTAGGTTTTGGGTTGTAGGAGACTTGGGCAGACTTCATCCCAGCTCTGCAAACTGAAAGACCCTGGATGGTTTACCTTGGATTTAAACTAAAAGCCCCCAAATCTCCAAGCCAGTAAAGCTACTGGCTCTGCTGGCTGGGAGATTCTGAGAGCTGGTACTCCGAAACAGGAATATTTCCAAGCTCTGCAACCTGCCACCGAGTGTTGGTTGAGAACATATGTGACATTAAATATAGTTTCTGAATTTGAAGCTGTGCATGTGTAAATGTTGAGCTGGATACTGGCTGAGGACTTGGGTGGCTCCAGAATTCTTTGACTAAAAAGCAGAGACGGACTATCTTTGTTGTATTTTTGAAGAGCACAAATTAATCATTCAGCACTAGAAAACAAGAGTGGTTTATGCCTTGTCCTTGCAAATAACGGAATGTATTTTGTCTCTGTATCTCTATGTTCTCTGCACTTTCTACATGTACTGTGTCATTTGGGGACCCATGTTTCCAGAATCTTTTATGTTGTTTTTAACAGAAAGCAGCTATGAATGGCTTCCAAGATGAGTAGAGGCTGATGCTAAGGAAAGGTCGGCTTCTTTGCCAGGTATTTCTCTCTGGAAGATAACTTCACTTACCAGAAGCTGCTTTCGCAACCACAGGGGATAAGATGCAAAATCAGAGCATCTTTCTCCATTTGTGAGAGCAAGGGTTCAGGTAACAGGCTGAATAGAGAAACTTTGAGCAAAGAATGGGAAAAACAATTTCTCTCTCTTGTCTTGTCTCACATGGATGCAATTTTGTATTTTAAAAAATTTGAGACTTTTTAAAATTTATACATTTATTTTGACAAAAATCCATGGTGCCATATCACCTGTAAACAGTGTTCAGACAATGAATCGGAGAGTCCTGGCTTACCAAGCATGTACAGTGTGCTGTTATATACTGCCTAGTGACTCATGCTTAACAGGAGCAGCAGCTAAACATCTGCAGAGCTTTTCCTTCCCCAAAGTTTATCATATCGTCTGAACAAAGCAGCAGGTGGTGCTCTGGCTGGTTTCTCTCCCAACTTGTCCAAAAAAGAATCCAGAATTTGCTCTACAGCTTTGTTCTTTGGCATGTGGTAGGAGGCAACAAGCCAGAGCATCAGGCATAGATGGATTCAGTTGATGTCATAAATAAACCACAGTTCTTCAACTACAAGCACAAATACTAGGGCTGCACGCACTAGTCTCTCTCTCTCTCTCAAATGGAGACAGTTCCCTTCCTTAAATTTGTCTGGATATGGCCATATTTTTAACTTTGTTTTCCTAACCTTTTAGAAAGTCTAATCTATGCATACCTTTAAATCAGTGAATATCTAGAACCAACTTGGCTTAAAGCCACTTCATTTTAATTGGGATATGGGTGTGTTCACAAGGCATATTAACTGCCAGTGCAAAAATTGTAGTTTCCCAAAACCTTGTATACAGATTTCCACCCGTTTCATAGAAAAAGCAAAAGCAAAATCTGATTGGGTGAACTGAGTATTTCTGCTCTTAGTCTGCTATTGCTCTGGAAGAAAGTGGTGATTTGTTTGTTTGTAGATCAGCATTTGAGTGACATTCTAGGATGTGAAGAGGTACCCACCTTGCAGGATCCACAAATTTGTATATGGAGCCATGGGGAGCATAGGCACTCGGGTAAGCGGTAGCCATAAAATAGAGTTCACCTGGAAATGATGGAAGGAAAAGAGAAAGCCAGTAACCTTGTCTACGTCATTGAGATGAGCACAAGTTGTGACCTTCAGCCTGAAACCTGTTTCTCTGACATTTCTCTATTTCCCACTTCCAGGTAGAAACAGAAGTGGGTAGCATATATACTGGACTACCATATGTGACTTTGGGTTGATTGTTAAGTCAATTCTAACTTGGTTACCCTTTCCAGAATTTCCTAGGTGATGATGACTCAGAAGTGATTTAGCATTCTCTCCTTCTAAGGGCACTCTGGGATAACTCATTTATCCCAGGGTCTGCTATTGATTTTGGAGGAAAATGGATGTGTTTGCTGACAATTTTCTTCCCTGTGCTCTGTCTTTCTTGCATTCACTTTTGAATGCTATCAAGTAGTTTTTGTATTGTTTTTATCTTGATCCTTCTATGTACTTTTCATATGAATCCCTTTTAGATATCACAATGTCAAGGGTTATAAACATATTATAAAGAAAGAAAAAATAAAATAGCTTGGGTCAGCCCTGGTGGTCACACAGAGGATTGTTGGACAGTAACTTCCAGAAAAGCCCTGATCCAGAATGGACATGTTGGTTGGGGGGAACTGAACAGTTGTCCAAAAATGTAACATTTCCAATCCCTGGTCAAGCCTGTGGCCTCAGTAGTCTGTTTGACCAGAAGCTGGCCATGCTCCCTGTATTTGACTTTACCTTAGAATCACAGAATAATAGAATGGCTATAGGGCCATCAAGTTGAAACCCCTGCTCAATGCAGGAATCCAGATCAAAGCAACTCTGACACACAGTTGTCCAGTTTTCTCTTGAATGCCTCCAGTGCTGGAGCACTCACCACCTCCTGACGTAATTGGTTCCATTATTGTACTGCTCTAATATTTATGAAATTTTTCCTGATATTCAGCCAAAGTCTGGCTTCTTGTAACTTAAGCTCATTATTATATGTCCAGCACTCTAGGATGATTGGGAACAGATTCTGACTGTAAAAAAAGAAACCCTGTTTTCTAGGCCAAAAAAATAGATGGTTGCAAAAAGTGTTACCTGCTTCATCCTCAGCAAAAGAGATTATGAATTTATTATATGAGCTGATCAGCCCGGGAAAAGCACAGGCTTTTGTGCTACCGATGCAGATGTCTTGTTTCTTCCATTTCTTTGTCCTCTCATCTTCTTGCAAAGCCATGAGTCGACTGGATGAAAAAGCAAAACCTTATGTGTGATTATTTCATTGCTCCATAGAGCTTAAGCCAAAAAAAGAAAATCCATGTAAATTCTTAGAGAGGAAAGAATAATTTGATCTGTTCCTATCCCTTAACTCAAGGTATCAACTCTTCCTTCAGCAGAAATTACCTTAAGTGGGAGGCCTTAGGAAATGTTGTTACTTCTCATTGCCAGGAATTTTCTGAACTCAGCACCCAGTTGCCCTTAATCCACAACTACTCACACACACTGTTAAACAATAAGAGTTTCCCATTATCCCTGACCACTGGCCATGTGGTGCAGGACAAATATTGTGTAGAAACCAATAATATCTGGAGGGCTACATGTTCCTCACCCTTGCACTATCCTGTATCCAGGACTTACTTCTTCCCTCCGTATTGGCTTCCCTCTTCCCACCAGTTGAGTAATTCATTAAATGGACTTGTTATATCTATGTGGTTCTGCTCTCCAGAGGAAAGTTATCCACCTTCTAATAAACACTGCTAAAAGTAGAGTGGCACTTTCCATCTTATGCCAGATCATTGCTGTCAAGACAGAAGCTGGATAATGTGGCTTCAGTTTATAACATTAATAATCTTGTGCCATCAAGTCAGTCCAAAATTTTAAAAATATAATTTTTATAATAGACAATTGTGAAAAAAATCACAAGCTGAACAGCATGGACCCTCCCTCAAGAAGAACAAACCCCATACCTGTGAAGACTGCATTTCAGAACCAACTCTCAGTTATTTAGAGGTTAATGAAAGCAGTTTCTTCCTTACCCAGTCATAAAATCACCAAAAATGTAGAGGCCATTGAGGTTTGGTGACTCACATCCTCTGTAGACATAACCTCCAGTGACTGATTTTCCCACATTGTGTCCATAGGCAAATATTGGAAGTATATCATCTGTTGATAGGGAGAACATAAAAATCCATTCAGTCAAAAGTATGATGACCTTAAAATTCTTGAGAAATACACAGCAAAGGGAGCAAGAAAAAACAAAAATCACTTTTTTAAAGTCTGAATCCTCAGGTACCCCATGTGCATGGGTGGCTGAGGGGGCACCAATATGCTAAACATCTGCTTCTCAAATTCCTTCTCTTAAGCTACATAGCACATAATACAGAACATAGCCAGATGTAACAGAGGCTGTATTCCCATAACTTTAATAGCTGTGTAGAAGAGGGAGGGGCTGCCATTTGCAAGCATAGAACCCAAATACTAAACTCTACATTTGCTAAACGTCTTCTATACTCTGATCTTTCCTCCCAAAAATCCCAACTACACAGTCTATTGCAATGAAAATGCGGTACGTGTACCTGTTAGATTCAGTGCTTTCCAACCTTGGGTACCCAGACATTCTTGGACTACAACTCCCAGAAATCCTGGCCAGCACAGCTAGTGGTGAAGACTTCTGGGAGTTTTAGTCCAAGAACATCTGACAAGGTTGGGAACCACTGTGTTAGATATTGCCCAAGAATTGGCAAAAAATGTAGTTTTTTAGGTTTTATATTACCAGAGCTTGGGGGGGGGGGAATAATCACTTTTTGAACTATAACTCCCAAAAGGCTCCAGCTAGCAAAGCCTGTGATTATGCCTCTTGGGGAATTCTGGGAGAAGTGGTCCAGAACATCCCTTATCTAAGCTCTTCTAACATATACAGTGTTGTAAAATATTAAAATGAATTTAAAAATCATGACTGTTAATTTTAGTATGCAGAAGTGTTGGGGAAACTCATTTTGCAGACACCACTTCCTCCATCCCCCAGATTCAGTTGTTCGTGGGGTGCCCAGGGAATTTGAAATGCACAGAATTTGAGGTTCTTTAACTTGCATTATACAATTCTGTAGATTTCCCACTCAACAGTGAAAGGATTATAGCTGCAACATAATAGTTGATCAAATTCTTTTTTACTCATAAGACAACTGCCCAAGAAGTGGCTAAAAATCATTATTTTTTTTTTAGGTTTTAATACTCTTTGTTTTAACACTGTAAGCCATCCTCTTTTTATATTTCTTTTTGCTTCTTAAAATTCACTTGCAACTAAATCATTAAATTTTACTTTTTGGGGGCATTTTATTTTCTTGGAATTGAATTTTGTTTTCAGGGGTCATTGGATTTAAGTGTCATAAATAAATAAATAAATAGATAAATAAATAATAAATGAATAAATAAGAAAGATATCATCACTGTGGGGAGGGGGGCGATGATAACTTCCTCAATGGCTCAAGGGGGCGTTTCTTTCAAAAAGGTTAAGAACCACTGCTTTAGAGGATAAAGGCAAGGTATAAATATTCTAAATCAACCCATCAGTCAATAAGAATAACCAGTCACTTTGTTACCTAAGGAAGAATTTTGACAAAGCTTTATGTCATAGCATTCAAAGCCTTCCTTCGCCCTCCAGCCGTAGTTGCCCCCTTTCACAATTATGTCCACTTCTTCGTACTTGTTCTGGCCAACATCACCACAGAACAGCCTTCCCCTTCCTTTGTGAGTGAATGGGTCGCCTCTGTCCACAGAACAGCGCCACATGTTCCTCACCCCGTACGCATAGATTTCGGGGAGAGCTTTAGGGTCAGAGGAAAAAGGATTGTCAGGAGGGATCCGGTAAGGCTTCCCATCGGAGCTCCTTCCATCGACATCTATCCGCAAAACCTTTCCTAATAAACTACTCCTGAGGGAAAATCAAGGGATAAATCAATGATTAATGATAGAGGAAATGAAGCAGAGTGCATAGAAAGGTTAATATCACAAAAGGCTAAGAACGTATCATTTGCATACACATGCGCACATATCATCTAAGCCAATGTGTTTCATGTATATATATTTGTCGTTCATATGTGCTGTCAAGTTGCCCCCAACATGATGACCCTATAAATGAGTAATTTCTAATATGTCCTGTCCTCAACAGCCATGTTCAATTTATATAACCAGTGTTACATAAACAGTTAACTGGCTTAGATTATACATATTTAGCCAGCAATGACCAAAATGTTCAACATAGTGAGTTGCAGTCAAGTAGGCCCATTGAACTGGTGAGTCAAGTCCTCCATCAGATCCATTGATTCAAATGGGTCTACTCTCGTTGCAACTTACTACAGTACTCTAAAGTAGAGTAGTAAGCTGCAACTACTGACCTTTCTACTGATCCAGATAACGGGTTATTATCAGGACCTTGATTACAAAATGTTGATAGTTTGAAAACTGGGATGTGAGACACGTGACCTTCTAAAATCAGCTGAACTGTAACTCCCCTCACCCTAGCCAGCAGAACCAATGGTTAGAGAACAAAGGAGTTGCAGTCTCACTTTCTGGGACCTTCAGTTATTTTGAATCATAATTTTGAAAGGAAGAAGATGCATAAAATACAAAAAAATCTAGAGGGTTATATATTCCAAATTTCTGATTTAAAAGACACATATCCCTCCTTTATACACATGATATCCAAGGGCTGCTTATATTGACTTAAACAAATCATCTCTCTTATGTTTAAGATACTTGAATGAAAAGGATCCTAAACAGAAATTATCAGAAGCAGCGGTGCTGTTTTAAAATACCATAACTTGCTTTCCAAGGCAAACCCAGTTGCCTCTTATGTGTAACAAGGGCATATTAGACACAGTAAACAGTGGATGCAGTAGCTGTCTGGCTTACTTGTTCTGAGCATTCCCAAATTTACCAAAAGGGTCTCCTGCTTTCCCTCCATCCCCTGTAAACAGGTACATGTAACCATCCAGGCCAAAAAGGATCTGCCCCCCATTATGATTTGCAGCTGGTTCTTCAATCTCCAAGAGTTTCCTAAAGTGAAAAGAGAAAATTAATTTTAAAAAATGGAAAAACAGAAGCGGGTAGCCACTCTTGTCTTCCTTGGATGAGTTTCAAGGCCTCATTGTGTTCAAAAACATATTATTTATGCATTCATTAAGCAGAACGTCTTATCTGCATAGTTCTTGATGTTAACTTTTTCCTAGACTAAGCAAGAGAGGACCTTAACATTCCCTTGTTAATTCTTTCCTTCTGCTGCACGGTGATGTCTTGAATGCTTAGCTGGCATCCATGCTTGCCGTCTCAGGGGATAAACTGGGGGGCTGTCCAGATGGGGGGATTTGGTGCTGTTTGATTCAGGTTTAAAAGGTTTTTCAGTGTGATCTACCTGGCACTTGAGCGATTCCTCTGTTCACACTGGAGATGCTTATTCTTCTCTGAGAAGGGTCCAGACAAGTCTTTAGATCACTGTTTACTCGCATGTAAGGTTGACCCAGTTTATTCATGAGTAAGAAGGATGAGGCAGTGCCAGCAGTAAGGGCACAAGGGGAGAAGGTTGGGGAGACAGAAGGAAGGTAAAACCCCCCTTTCTTCCATCTTTCTCCTCAGCTGGGGCTTTGCTCCTTTGTAGGGACAGAGTCTGAGCAGATGACCAAAAGGTATTTTATACTTCAGAAGTGTGAGTGTGTAATCAGGTCTACAAAAATCAGAGTCCAATTCAGCTGGTTTTCCCAGTGGTTGCTTTTGTTTACTTTTCCCACATCCTCTTCTCTCCCCCAAGCAACCACTAAGCCAATGTTAATGGGGGCAAGGGAGAGATGCTGTCATCTGTCAATGAATTTGGGAGTGGGAGCCAACATAGCCCCCTTCCCCACAGCTGTCCTTCAATGAGCTGTGGTGACTTTCCTTTTTGTTGTTGTTGTTAAACAAAGTAAGTGGCACAGCAAAACAGCAATGCATCTGCTTAGCACGGTATACATAGTACTGCCAATGTATCTAGTTTAACTGGAATAGCATTGCAGCAATAGGGAAACAGTTTTAAAAATTAAGTGGTAGAAAAAATGAAAATACAGGAGGGGAGTTTCCCATTTGTCCATTAAAATGTTAAAACCCACCTAATACATCACAGGTAATACTGCCCATAGCTCCATATGGGTGCGAACTTACCGTCCACACAAGTCACACAATGGGATAATTGGGAGCATGCTAAATCATATCAAAAAACCCAGAAACTCTAGTACTTCAGCAGAAAGGAGTGAGACCGCTCTAAAATGAGGCAGGATGGAGCACTCTTAAGTCAGAACATGTGTGGACACCATAATTTGATTCAAACCAAATTGCACAAAGTGATCCAAATAGCGAGCTATATACTCATCAGGATTGGCACTGGGTCAGGTCAGTTATGCATCCAGGTCTCCCCAGCAGGCAGGCAGAGACGAGCACCACACCTCCAACAGATAGCTCTTCTGTGTAGGGGCCATTGTCTTTGATAAACTACTCAACACACTACAGTTCCAAGGGACAGCCACAAAAGGAGATCCTGATCGCAGATCAGCTAAACAGCTGGATGCACTCATGCTATTGCTCTTGATACTGGAGCAGGAGAATGGCCTCTGTAAGGTCTCGCTGCATCAGGACAGTCCTCTCCTGCAATGTGCCTCGTGATACCTAGTCCTGCTTCACGGCACATCTTCAGGTGGCAGCTGTTGAACACGGTTGCAGGAAAGGACTCCTGAAAGGACCCCCAAAAGATACTTTTGGAAAAGCCACTGATTTGAAAGAGGTCAGGTTGAGTTCTGGAATCTTTGTGAAATCAGTCAGACCTTACCCTGCTGAAAACAGTTTCGTTAGACTACTCACTTCTTATATGCTAAGCATTTTAGTCTGCATCGCAGGTAGAAAAAGCTGAATACTCCTGCTCTGAAAGCACCAGGGTCTCTTGAAATCCCACATCAACCACGGGGAGATTTTGTGGTTCTTAGAAGCAACCCTTGGCACCACAACCCTCCCCCTCCAACCAAAATATTTTCTGCAGACATGTTTTTCTCATCAAGTAGCAGCAGAGAAAATACATGACTTATTTGCTTCTTTATATTTTGTTTTATATATGTCTGCCTCCCAAGATAGCATCCATTCATCTGATGACATGGACTGCTGCCCGTGAAAGCTTATGCTAAAGAAAACATGTTATCTAAAGGTGCCACAAGACTTTGTTGTACATTTATTTGTGTGCATTTGGGAAATCTGTACCTCTGGCATACCATATTTTGTTGAACTAGAACTCCCACCATCCCACACCATTCACTTGAATTAGTGTTTCGAAGTATTCGAAGACGATGTATTTGCTTTATCATAAGATATACATACTAAACTTCAGCTAAACCCATCTCATAGGATTGCAATGAGGATAAAATGAGAAAAGGCAGTCTAAGCTTTGGGGATAAAGTAGAAAATATGTATTTGGTAAAAAAAAACAAAATTGAGGGAGGAACTTTACCTTTCCGAGTTTGCATCAGCTTTGTTGAGATCAGATGCAGAGACTCTTAGTTCACTGATCCTGATTTTCTCAACATTTTTCTTGTCCTGATAAGAGTAATAAATGTAGAATTTCCCATTGTCTTTGTATTTGGGGTGGAAGGCCATCCCAAGGAAACCTCTCTCATCGCCTACCCATGGACTTGCCAGCACCAACTTTTTAATGTCCAGAAAAGGCTCTTCTAGTCGACTTCCATCTGGAAGATAGACCCAGATGACACCCACCTGCTCTGCCACAAACATCCGGTGAGTGTTGTCATTAGCATGGACCATCAACACCGGATTTCTCAACCCATTGGCCACTTCTCGTAAGCACAGCTGAAGGCATCCTTTCTTGTCCTCAACCACAGAGCCCAGGTTGCGGTTAAGGTCTGTGTTTTTCAGCACATCTGGGAAGCAATAGTCTTCATCCTGGATGTTGAGAAGGTCACAGAAGCGGGTCTTGTTCTTCTCACAGCATTCTTGGATTTGTCTGTCATTTGTAAGCAAAGTGATCGCAGAGCCGCAATAGAAGTGGAAGTCCGAGCAGTAGTCAAAGCAAAGGCCTGGGAGATTCCGAAGTGGCGTCTGAGGGTTTTCAGCATCATAGAGGTGAGCTGCATAGGGGGAGCATTCCTGTTAAGGGGTTGAAAATGACATGTCAGCTCCTGTAATACTGTGAAACTGATTCCACCTATATGTTTGCGTCTGTGCCACTATACTATTTGCTCAAGTTCTCCATCTATAAGCAAACAATTTTACAACATAATAGATGGGCAACACAAGCCACCCTTAGGAATATGGTGATCAGGATGGGAAAACCTTTGGCTTTCTAGATTTCAGACCTCAATTCCCATAAGTCCCCATGCAACCTTGACCACATCTGGTCCCATCCAATTTTGCAAGCTAAGGAGGCTAGGACCTGATTCATTCTTGAAACGAAGACCACCACAAAATTCCAAGTGCTGTATTGAGGAAGTGTCATAGATCAGCATTAGTGGACGTGTTTTGCATGCATTGGGTTAATCCCAGGTTACTTAACTTCATCTCCAAGTATGGTAAGTAAAGAATCGTGCCTGAAACCCTGGAGTACTGCTGGTGTGATTCATCATAAGACAACTGCCAGTGTTCCAGAACTCTGCCAAAAACTCTTACTACTGGCCATCAATGGCACTTGTAATCCAAATATCTGAAGATTCTGCACCCTTACTATAAAGTTTTGTTTTTTTCTTCCCATTATTCCAGAAACATGCCAGGTACATTGTTGTGTTGTGTCAGACTTGGCAAAGTTAGTCATCGTGACTAATTTAGGTTCCCTTGATGTTATTGGATCTTGTCCAAGTATGACTGAGTCTGTACCTAACCCAATATGCACAGATGATGTTTGTGTTACTTCATAACCTAAGAAAATGAAAGAATGATTATCTAAATAATGTGAAGAATTAATTTTAAAATAGTTAGCTTCGAAAATGTATTCGCGAAGGCTTTCACGGCCGGGATCTAATGGTTGTTGTGGGTTTTTCAGGCTCTTTGGCCGTGTTCTGGTGGTTGTTCTTCCTAACGGATTGCCAGTCTCTGTGATGTTTGTGTTACTTCATAACCTAAGAAAATGAAAGAATGATTATCTAAATAATGTGAAGAATTAATTTTAAAATAGTTAGCTTCGAAAATGTATTCGCGAAGGCTTTCACGGCCGGGATCTAATGGTTGTTGTGGGTTTTTCAGGCTCTTTGGCCGTGTTCTGGTGGTTGTTCTTCCTAACGGATCGCCAGTCTCTGCGCAACGTTAGGAAGAACAACCATCAGAACACAGCCAAAGAGCCCCCAAAACCCACAACAACCATTAGCTTTGAAAACATTGGCCATCACCTAACTGAGGTGTCATACAATTGTGTTAAGGTAGAGGAGAAGGACAGATCCTATATATAGAACTAAAATCTAGTTGGAAGCTTTCCTACAGAATAATGATTTGAAAGCATCTGAGAAGAGAGTATGTCTATCTAAAGGCTATGTTAAAATGTCTTACAATTCAGAGTTGTTTCCCAGACAGAACATGTTGCCTTGCTTCTTAAAGGTAAAGGTTCCCCTTGACAATTTTTGTCCAGTCGTGTTTGACTCTAGGGGGCAGTGCTCATCCCTGTTTCCAAGCCATAGAGCCAGCGTTTGTCCGAAGACAATCTTCCGTGGTCACATGGCCAGTGCGACTTAGACACGGAACACTGTTACCTTCCCACCGAGTTAGTCCCTATTTATCTACTTGCATTTGCATGCTTTCGAACCACTAGGTTGGCGGGAGCTGGGACAAGCGATGGGCGCTCACTCCGTCGCGTGGATTCGAACTTACGACTGCTTGGTCTTCTGACCCTGCAGCACAGGCTTCTGCGGTTTAGCCCACAGCGCCACCACGTCCCCTGTGCAAAAAGACTAAGGTACCTTTTAGCAGGGAAATGGAATAGCTTGAATTACAAATAAATCAGATTATTTGCTTCTTTGCAGGTAATGTGTAGGCTTGAATAGGTGCAAAGTGCACCAGCACTGTGTGTAAATGAAGAAGGATAAGGTCTTAATCAGAGCACTCATGAGATGGAATTTAACCCTTTTCTTCATTGCTATAGAGTCTTGAGGAAGCCCTTTTCTCTGAAATCAATGGGGAAAAAAATCTCTTATAGGCACTAATATGTGGGTGGGGGCAAGAAGAACGTGTTACATAAGATTTATTTAATATTATAGGGTGTAGCAGCTCAAGTGCTGCTGGACTGGGGCTGGGGGGATGTTGGTTCTTGTTCCCATTGAACCATGAAACTGACTGGGTCAGGATTAGATCACAGACCTTGCATTAGTTACTGACTCTTAGCCTGAACATCTGTACTGAAGAGCTGCTACTGCTTACTGGAAGAAATGTGGGATATAAATGTAACTAACTAATTAATCAATTAGCAAATCTGTACCCAGAATACAAATTGACAAAACTACTAAGTGGATAGCGACCCTCTGGTTTATTCATTCTTTCATTAATTTTCCTACATACTGCTTTTAACCTCCTCAATGCACTCTAGTGAGAAACTGCTTTTCTTTCTTTCTTTCTTTCTTTCTTTCTTTCTTTCTTTCTTTCTTTCTTTCTTTCTTTCTGTCTGTCTGTCTGTCTGTCGTCTGTCTGTCTGTCTGTCTGTCTGTCTGTCTGTCTGTCTGTCTGTCTGTCTATCTATCTATCTATCTATCTATCTATCTATCTATCTATCTATCTATCTATCTATCTATCTATCTATCTATCTATCTATCTATCTATCTATCTATCTATCTATCTATCTATCTTAATTTACAGCCTTAGGAAACTAAAATCGTTAATGGGGTACTGAGAGGAAGGCTCTTTCCAAATGTCTCCTTCCATGTCCCTCACTAAGAATTCTAGTACAAATGTTTAGGTTTTTGTGGCTGTGAAGTTATTTTTCAAAAAAGAAAAATAAAGAAGTTTGATTTTTGACTTGACAATCGTAGCACTCTTTAACCATACGAAAAGAGGACATACTCAGTATATGCAATACTAGAGGGCTAAGGCAGTTGAGCAGAGAGAATATTAAGTGTTTTCCTGGTGTGTGTTTTGGCTGCTTTTTTGCACTGGCAAATGGAGACTCTCAACTTCCAGGACTGAACTTTACAAGGGAACCCTCTCTTTGGCTGTAAATCAGCGGATAGGCAGGCGGCCAAGCGGGGCTGTGTCCCTTTTGTTAGTGTTCTTCCCCTTCCCACTTCAGATGGATGGGCAACCTTAACAAAACAGAGAGGGCAGAGAAGGAAAGAGGCAGACAGTGCCAAAGCTGACAGAGACTGTGCGAGGGCGTTCCAGAGGACATGGAAGCCAGCTGTTGGATCAGAGGCTGCTTTCAGGAGGGCAGCTTTTGCAGGGCAACAGGCAAGAGCGTAATGTAAACACATCCTCCATGGCATCTGGGAATCAAAACACCAATGTCCGTGGGCTGATTTTTATGCAGCCCTAAAAGCCAAGTCAATCTGCACCAGTAAAGCAAAATAATCAAGTATCCTCTTGTCCTGCTCTTATGTAGAGTTGCCAAGTACTGGAGTTTACATGAGGCCACGAGAATGGGATGCTGCCAGCGTGTATTCCCAGATTTGGGGGTTCATTCTCATGACTTCAGTATGTGCCTTTTAGACATGCTCAGAAGCACTCTCCTTACATGCAGTAGAGCTGCTGCTGCTGCTGCTGCTGGAATTCACACATTAGCTTTTAAATTAATCATGCTCTTTCTGCTGATGTCAGACACCCAATTTTGCAATGGCTGCTGAAAAGCTAAGCTATAAGACATCACAAAGGTCCTCCACCAATGACTTCATAAAGATCTACTCCAGGTTTGGGTTCTGAAATCTCAGGGAATAGGATACTGGCTGGAGGAATTTTTGTAGCTGTAGTGCAGAACAGGCACTTTTCAAAACTCTGCTGTAAAGTAATTTGAGAAATATTTTGCCTCTCATTGTGTATATATCAAATTTTTGCCACATCTCTGCCATGTTGAAAACCTCTGCCATAGGTTTTCAACCAGTACAGGAACCCACAAAAGCTATTTACCAGTGACTAACATAATACAAATGTACAAACCACCAGTAGTGATGTTCTTTTAAAAGATGCTCTCAGTCTCTGGGTGAGATAGAGCAAATAGCAATCCTCCTCTAGCTTTAGCTTCTTATGCAAGCAAATATGTGAAGCTGGGTTTCTCACATAACCAAAATCAAAATCCTGTCCACTGCATTACAGCTTACAATTGTTTTATAAAAATTGCTGTGGTTCTACTAGATCTTGGAAACATTTCTTTTCAACTATGGATTCTAGTATTCCCATGATGCCCATGCTGACTGAGGCATTCTGGGTGTTGTAGTACCATAAAGCTACATTTCCCAAGGTTATACATCCTCATCACAGTATTCTTATATCTATATGCAGAGCAAATGAGATCTGGTATAGGAGAGTAGCAGACAGTATGAATTTGTGAATCAATGTGGAGTGGTGGACTGAGTGGTAGACTAATTTTTTTTTTATTTAAAAGATTTTTACTGCACCTTTCTCCTTAAAAAACCTGCCTGAAGAGAAAAGTCTTTGGCTGCTTGTGGAAGGACAGCAAAGATGGGGAGGGAGGGAGGGAGGGAGTTCCAGAATCCAGAGAAGACCTTCTCCCATGTCCCCACCAAATGCATCTGTGAAGGTGTTGGGACAGAGAGAAAGTCCTCCCCTGATTATACCCAGGCCGGCTCATAAAGGGAGGCACAGTCCTTGACACGGCTTGGACCCAAGCCAGTTAGGGCTTTATAGGTTAAAACCAGCACTTTGAATTGTGCTTGCAAATGGGTGGGACACCTAGTTTCAAATCCATGCTTGGCCATGGCAATTTACAGGGGAGGGGTGGTGATTTGTATTTAGGAAAAGGCTGTTCAAACTATCACTACTCTTTGAATTGTGCTTGCAAATGGGTGGGACACCTAGTTTCAAATCCATGCTTGGCCATGGCAATTTACAGGGGAGGGGTGGTGATTTGTATTTAGGAAAAGGTTTGCTGGGCTGTTCAAACTATCACTACCACCATACTTCAGATGTAAAAATCACTTATGATGTTTAATAATATTTCTTTATTTATTAAATTTATATGCCGCCCATTTAGACATAGCCTACTTTGGGCGGCTCACAAAATATACAGTGGTGCCTCGCTAGACAATTACTCCGCATGACAGCTTTTTCACTAGAAATTGACTTTTTGTGATTGCTATAGCAATTCGCAAAACAGTGATTCCTATGGGGGAATTTCACTGGACAATGTTTGGTCCCTGCTTCGCAAACCAATTTTCGCCAGACAACGATTTTGACAGCTCCCTCCGTGCTCGCAAACAGGTGTTTTCGGGACCTAAGCTTCGCAAGACAGTGATCTAAACAGCTGATCGGCGGTTTGCAAAGTGGCTTTCATATGGCTGATCTTCACTAGACAACGACGATTCTTCCCCATTGGAACACATTAAACAGGTTTCACTGCATTCCAATGGGGCAATGCTTTTCGCTAGACAATGATTTTGCTAAACAGCGATTTCAGTGGAACGGATTATCATCATCTAGCGAGGCACCACTGTGTTCTAATTCCTATGCTTCAGAAGAAGAAGAACATGACAGTTCACAGACCACATCAATGACACAAAATCATAGCCCACTACTATACCTGGCACAAGATGTCTTTGATGTATCTTCCACATAGTTTCTGGGCTTGAGGGTCCACATAATCCATGATCTCCCAGTATTTGGCTGCAATGATATTGTCTTTGTCTTGGTCACAGCATCCAAAGGTCTCATAGGCAGAACAGAACTCCAAATGGAAAGGAGGCTGGAAAGGAGGCCCATAATCAAGGCACTGGGGATGCCCCAGGAGACCCCTGCCGTGGCACAGCAGAACAAAGGAGGTGCAAATGAGAAAATTGGAAGAATGTAAGGAAAACATGGAGCAGTTGTTTTCAGAGCACCTGGAGTTGCTTTCTTGACTGCAGATTTTCTGAGATCAGAGGCTTGTGAGTTGTGACCACTTTGAAGATGTTTTCCAGGCTTCTGAGTTTTCAAACGTCCCAGCTAGAAAAAAAGGTCAGTGTTTGTTCAAGGTTGCATACTCACTCTCTTGCTCTCTCTACAATTAAGTTTACTATTGGTGAGCTAAGAAGCAACCTTCCACACCGCCTCTTTGCCATTCCACGCCTCACTCAGCAGAACCCTCCCCCCTTCTCTTCTCCAAATTTATCTGCCTTCCTGTGGAGAACAAAGAGAGACAGATGTCACCAACTATTACACACACTTGCCGTGTGTTTGTGAAGAAAGACAGAGAAAGAAAAATCAAAAGAGATAAATCCAGAGACACAGAATGTGCATAAATTGCAAACCATCTAGGAAAGGATTAGTTTTCCCATTCACGAAGTTCAAGATTCCCAAACTCAGCAAAATAGCTGGAAAGAAGATGACTCATTTTCATCCATTACATGCCCACTCTAATTAGCTTGAACATACTCAAACTCAGATTAAAATTCTACAGGAATGAAATTCTCACTTCCCACTCCAGTTCCCAAGCATGCTGAAATAAAAATATATGTTTGATCGTCAGAGGTTCAGATTTATATCTTTCCTGCCACAACAGTTTTGGACTCAAAATAATTGAATTACAGTATACATTAGTGCTCCCAACAGAATTTTTAAAAGATGATATGTAACTAGAAAATGGAACATATTAAATGGTTTGTCAGAATGTCTTCACTGAGTTTTTAAAAAACCAACTTTAGGTGATTTTATGTGAATACAGAGAGAGAGAGAGAGGCAGATAAACATCCTCATAATTTAGGGGACTTTTGGAAATATTTTATCCTACCACTTTTGCCCTGTAATCAAACCAGAAAAATGTTCAACATAACCAGAGATGGAAAAGTTACTTTTTTCAGGTTCCACTTTTTGGAGCCCTCTGCTGACCATACTAGCTAGGCTAGAGGACAGAAGTCCAGTAACTTACAACCTTTAAACAGAATGCAACGGTATAACATAGGATGACCATTCCCCATGGCTTATTCTGTGACACATCCCCATCTCCCAAAGGCTAACCAAAATGAAGGACTGACATTGCTGCACTCATAACGGTGTCCTGTGGTTAAAATTGTCAGATGAACCAGATCCCATTCTCTGAAATGTCAGGGCCAAAACCTAAGACCGGGGGAGTGGCTGATGCAATGTCGCAGGGGCATGAACCAGATCCCATTCTCTGAAATGTCACGGCCAAAACCTAAGGAGTGGCTGATGCAATGTCACAGGAGGTTGTGACATCAAGAGAAGTGGGGTAAGAAAGGGCTAGGAATAGGTAGCTTTTTTCTAGGCTTTGTGCTACTGCCGCAAGGACTGGTGCATCAAGAATCTCACAAATCAGAACGTGGATATTTCACTCCCTGCCTTGTACCAAATGTCACAGTGAGCCCAATATTGATGTGCTAAAAATCTCAGAGGGGGACCAGGACTAGGAGTCCATTATACCTTTTGGAACAAAAGACAAACACCTTCATGCTGAGCTGGGACTGGATGAAAAGGGAGAGCCATTTACATTTGTGCCTCATACACAAGACTCAGTCCTCCTCCAGCCTTGCTGATCTTGAGATTTGTCTTCTTGCTCGGAGACCCAGAAAAGAAAAGCAGTTCTCTGAGACGGCAGTTGGTGCCTTGCCCTAAGCATGGTTAGCTCAGGAAAGTGACAGAATGGAAAAACTACTGCGCTCATGAGTCAGAGAGCAATTGCCCAGCTGGCTGTGTAATCTTAACCACAGTCAAGAGATGTGGGATATGGAACTAGGACCAGTTACTGCATATGCAGTATGAGAGGGATTGAGTCCCTAAAGGAAACCACAGGTACAAATTAACAAGAGCTGAGCAGAGCTGTTGATGACAGGACATTTTGTAGGTCACTCATTCATGGGGTTACCGTAAGTCAGGGGCAACTTGATGGTACATAACAACCGTGTGGGTTTTACAAACAAAGCATGTCAGGGGCAACTTGATGGCACATAACAACCGTGTGGGCTTTACAAACAAAGCACGAACTGAGCTAGGAGGTCCAAATTTCCCTGGTCCCTCTTTGACCTGCTCCCAGAATAAGAGCAAAAATATCTGCTGACTAGTAACGTGTAAGGAAAACATACTTCACCTCCAGCCCACGGAGACCTCCACCACCATTCAGTAGCAGCTGTCTCTCACTCTCAAGTTACCCATGGCATTCTGAAAGTCCCGAGAGATGGTATGTTTCTAAGTCTAGACATTCTCTGCAGGGTGTCGCTGTAAGCAAGGATGCCAGCTCGGACATGGCAAAAAAACCACCATTCACATCCTGACAAAAACAGTGACTGCTATCACAAACCTTTCATGAGAAAAGTTTGGTTCCAAGAGGCTTACCCCCACCATCACAGGATGGGGAGAATTGATCAGTTTTCATGCAATTGTGGGCCACTATGAGCAGTTTGCAGAAGAAGAAGAAGAAAGAAGAAAGAAGACGAAGACGAAGACGAAGACGAAGAAGAAGAAGAAGAAGAAGAAGAAGAAGAAGAAGAAGAAGAAGACTCCATTATAGACACCCCAGCTTTGATGAGAAAGATGGGGAAAGTCCATCTTTCTCATCTAGAAGAGGTAACACTGGATTCTACTTTGTACAATCCAAAGTTGTGGACAGAATCCCTGCAGGGGCAAGAACTGCCATGTGTGTGCTTGGCTCTTATCCTTCCCAGCTTTTAAAACTAGCTAGAAGTTATTCCAACAGCTCTAGTGTCTCACTGAAGATCAGAAAGGTTTTGTGAGGACTGAAAGATTCCATGCTTTGATTATCAGAACTGTAGACGTGCACTATATAGTGTCCAGATCTTGAGAAAGTTACTTTTTTCAGACCCACAGCATCTCTCAGCCAGCATAGCCAATGCCTTCATTGTAGTTCTAGTGTCCAGATCTTGAGAAAGTTACTTTTTTCAGACCCACAGCATCTCTCAGCCAGCATAGCCAATGCCTTCTGAGAATTGTAGTTCAGAAAAAGTAACATGTCCAAGCTGTAATACTGCCTCTTGGCTATAGTCTGACTATTCTAGCCCATTTTTAAAAGGCGAGTCATCATTAAGGGATCACAATAATTTGCAGATAGCAAAAAAGGAAAAAAATAATAATCTTGATTTGGAGCTATAGCAATGTATCTAAATATTTTTGCACTTCGCTTACAAACTGGGCAATTGATATTGTTCCTTCTACAATAGATTAAAAAAATTAATACAGGACACCCTGGTTACAGAGAAGGTTTAGAATGGGGTATTCAGCTCTTCTGCCCACAACTCACCACATGGAAATTTACTATGTAGTAGTCAACAACATATCAAACCAAACCTCCAATGAAAGTGCAAGACTCCCTCGGCATCCAACAACGTCAACAACTTTCAATCCAGGAGGAGAACAGGTTTGCTACTGAGACTGAATTATCGATCCCTGGCATGTATTGTCACAACAGTTTTGATTCACCCCATTTCCCACATGCTAGTATTAATGCTACAAGGTACCCCAGGATTAAAAACTGGGAAGAAGTCATTTTATGGAGTGTGTGGACAGATAGAAGAATTCTTACCCCAGAAAACCTAATTTGATACAATAATGAATTCTTGACATTTTCCTGCTTGAGGCCTAGGTATCACTTGCCAGCCTCAGCTGAATGGCAGTATTTACAAATGCAGCATTTGCTGGTATCCAAATGCAATCCAGCAGCATTGAGTGCCTCGGTCTTCTGCACTGTTGGAAATGCTTAATAAACCAATTCAGGACAAGAAAACGGTATTCTTTATGATTATCTAACCCAAGGTTAAGAACCAGTGCCCTGGACCACCTAATCTGATACAATAATGAATTCTTGACATTTTCCTGCTTGAGGCCTAGGTATCACTTGCCAGCCTCAGCTGAATGGCAGTATTTACAAATGCAGCATTTACCGGCATCCAAATGCAATCCAGCAGCATTGAGTGTCTTGGTCTTCTGCACTGTTGGAAATGCTTAATGAATCAATTCAGGACAAGAAAACTGTATTCTTTATGATTATCTACTCAGTTAACAAATATTACATAAAAGGTCTCAGGGATGAGTGAAACATAAATATACTTACTGTTTTGCCTAACTTCAAGCATACCTGAAGTATCTGTATATCTCAGGTTATGAATTATTGTTGAAAGATGCTTGGGGGGCAACAGGTGGATTTGCTGTAAAATCAATCTCTGAGCTTTCTCATGGCAGAGCCCATGCACGGGGGGGGGCAACAGGTGGATTTGCTGTAAAATTGGAAACTAGGATCAATCTCTAAGCTTTCTCATGAGGAAGCAGAGCCCACCATTTGCCAGATCAAAGGGAAATTGAGTCAGGGCACCAGATGGCCCATCTCTCTGAAGCGTAAATAGACAAACTGGTTTCACACTCTTCTGGGTCAGAGTAACTCCCGCCTTCCACTCCCCATAGGCTGGAACTTTCCCTCCAAACCCATGACAGACAGGTAACATCAGTGCTGTATGTAACAGGGACCACTGCTCTAAGGCATCAAACCTAACTGGGCTTCAAAGAGTCTTCAAAGTTGTGTATTGCTGAGTTCTCAAAGGGATACATGTTCTATTGGGGCTAAAAGGAGGACAAATCTGTTGGGTTGAGGAAAACAGATTGAGAAGTCAAGAGAAAAGGAGCCCTTTCCAGCTTGGGGGCTGGGAAGCCGCTCTGGGCATGCAATGAGACCCATCCTGGCTTCATGTCAGCGTAGAGCTATCATAAGAGAATCATGACAGTTAGCAGTACAGTAGTTGGAAAATGCAGCAGCTTAGTCTGTAGCATTTGCCTGCTTGCTTGCTCTATCCCATTGCATTTTGTAGTTTGAATGCAACCAAAAAGCTTAACCATTGAGTTGTTGTTTTTTAAAAAAAACCTTTTAATTTTCCTTTTAATAAAGTTACCTTTTAGAACAGACACCTTGTCTGAGGGCTATTCTTGCAGAGTTTCCTGGCTAAACTAATCCAACAAGCCAGGCTACTTGATAATATTTCGTTTATCTACAGCATGTACAGAGTACAAAAGGATTTTTTTAAAAAAACAAATAAAATAAATCAGGATAACTAGGGCAGCATGATTACTGGCGAACAGTTCAACATGGCTGTGAGGTGGCCAATCAGGGTTTTCCTCTACCTGGCAGTAAAGGTGTTAGCTGGTCCTGGCTGTTCTGTTACTATTATCCAACAATCAATCACGTTTAGAGGATACTGAACATGACAATGACTTTCTAGGACAGGTGTGAGCAAATCATCTTAAGGCCTGGTGCTGCGATTCTCTTGATGCATCTTTCAATCATATGCTTTGGTCATGTCCAGCATTTTGGAGGGGAGTTATTACTCATATTAATTTTGTATTGGATATTCATTCATTCTGTCTTTCATTTAAGTAAGTTGAAGATATCTCTCACCGGATGATGATGTCATCTACCTTACACAGCATAAATTTATGCCTACAGGATTTCAGCCATTATTTCACCATCGGATGAGGTAGGTCTTTTTATATTTGTAAGATACTACTGTATACTAGTTGCATTCATAGCACCACTGAAACATAGCACGAGTTGAATAGCATACTGAAACACTTCATATTGAGCCTTCAAAGTCCAAGTGATAAAACCTGTTTGCTACAAAAAAAAACCCTCAACTTTTTAAAAGCAATAACTCAAAGCTGAATAATACAATTTTTCAAATGGGTTTATTATAAAACAGGAAGAAAGTTTTAAAATGGTAGCAATTCTTATACAAGTCTTTTGCACTAAAAGTAATTATTTATAGGGGGCAGCTGTATAGAAAATGAAATTCTTACAGTCAGGAAAAATAATATACTCTCCTTTTTTTAAAAAAAAACAGATATTTGACTTGTGATGTAATCAAACATCAGACAATCTCAAGCTGACCCAGCTGTGTTCTTTCACAAAGTTCTTCAGTGCTTTGAATTTTTTCTTCTTGGCTTTACGTCCTTGCTGTGTAATGTATTTAAAGTATTTGCAATCTAGACATAAATAAAACACAAAAATGAAATGTTGTTAGAATTGCTGGGATAGTAAAAATGAAAAATATGAAGTGAAGAGGGCTCTACTGACTACCATCAGCATTTTAAACTGAATTGAGATTTGCAATGGTACACAAAGGGGGCTTCCACTGTTTTCTTCAGACAGTGTTTTACTGGTTGAAATATGGTCAGATCCACCTATGCAATGTTCCCACAAAGCTGGGCGCATGCACTCGTGACTCTGCTTCCCTCCGCACAGCACTCTTCCTTCTCCACACTGTGATTGTGTTAGGTTCCAGTTGCAACAGAACCCAGCGCACGGGGGGGGGTTGGAGTTGCGCGTGCTTGCAGGGGCGAAGCCGCATGAAAGAGAGGCGGAGCCCTGCCCAGTGGGGCTGAAAATTAGAGGGTATGTTGCATCTATGTATTTGGCTACAAAAGAATAAGATGGTAATCCTTGTTCAAGAATTTTTTTAACAGTCAATAACAAATGTGCATACAGCAGATACTGTACATGTTCCCAAAACAGGAATAACTGAGGCTCTAATCCAAGTGCAGCCTTCTACAATAGATATACCTCATCACAAACTTCCAGCAGCCCCAACATAATCAGTTGTGAAGGACGGCATTTTTTTAAAAAAAGTTGCATTCATATCTCGCATTTCATCCAATGAGTTCAAGGGGGTGTAGCTCTCCATGCCACACTGCATGCTTACTGAGGCAGAGTGATCTAACTAAGATCAAGTGACTAGCCAAGGTCACTCAGTGACTTTCTCAGCCTCATGGTAACTTGAATGTGGAGATCCCAAATCCCAGCCCATCACTCTAATCACCACAGTGGCTTCTTAGCCCAACATTTTTGTGGTCCAGCAATACCTAGAAGGACCCCAATGGCAACATTTCTCTGCACTGGGCTAAAGTGGGAATAGGGTGTGTACAAGCATGCATCTCCTGGCCCCAGTTGCCTCACAGGCCTTCACACATGACACATGAGGTTCTGTTCAGGTGTGTGTAAGCATGTTTGGCTGAGCACAATTGCACAGCTGACATAAATGGAAAGTTGTCTGAGACAAGGTTTCTGATCACTAGAAAATTGAACAGGTTTAGATGCCCCTAAACAGAACTCCATTCTTAATGGGCATAACTGAAGTTTCCAAGAGCACAGCATGAATGCTTGTGTACATCCTGACCTCTCTTATGTGTGCTGTAGGCAAATAATTACTTAGGGGTTCCATCTATTCCACAATCTACTGTAACTTCCCTCTATGAATCTAAAGAACTAAGGCATTGTCACGTTCCCGCCTGTCCCTTGATTGTTTCACCAATCTACGTGTCGTGTCGCCGCTACCAGTTAATTACATCAACATTGTTTACTATGAATCACAGAGGTCCAGGCAATGTGTCATTTTAAAAAGAACCAAATAGAAGTTATTATTATTACAGATGATGAAGGTACAATCAATGTCGATCTTAACAAAACATCCTACTTCATCCACTCTCAACCGCCAACCGTCTCTCTCCACGCCAAACTCCAAATTAACAAATCCTCCAATCTCCAGTCTAACTCTCTCTCCCCCTGCAGAGACTCTTATGTCTCATGACTCTGCTTCTCCAGCACTCTCCTGCTGCTGGGGCTGGTGCTGCTGCCGCCTCCTCCAGCGCCACTCCCAGGCTCACCAGCAGCAGCAGCAGGAGGAGGCAAAGACTGAGGCAAAGGAGTAGCCGCGCTCGCCCACCTCTCGCGGCTGCCCATTGACTGCTGCCACCGTCAGATCGCCTCCTCCAGCGATCGTCTCCTTCAGGCAGGGGACAAGGCAGTGACGTGAGCTGGAGCTAAGTCCTGGCAGTCGCACTGGAGGAGGCGATCAAGTGGCGGAGGCAGCAGCAGCAAGAGACTGAGACGGAGGAGCAGCCATACTGGGCCGCTCCTTGTGGATGCCCATTGACTGCTCCTCCGCCTCTGGCAAGAGTAAAAATTAGGGGAGTGTCTTATACATTGGGGGGACATATACATGGAAAAATACAGTAAGTAAATATGTAAGGGCAAGTCTCAGTGTTCAACAACATTCCAGGAAATTCTCAGCACAGCAAGATCCTTGTAAGTAAATATGTAAGGGCAAGTCTCAGTGTTCAACAACATTCCAGGAAATTCCCAGCACAGCAAGATCCTTATAAGCCGCCTAGAGTGGTCGTAAGACCAGATGGGCGGGGTACAAATAAAAATAAAAAAATAAATAAAATAATGAAACAAGCTTTATTCCCTTTATAACATGGTATAAGTAATCTAACAAGATTACCCTACATATGGTATTAACTCATTTAATGGTCCCAAGCCAAATTAGAAGTCTGGTTTAGTCTGACTGCAATTGTGTGGAAACAAAAGGACTTTATCATTTAAGCGTCTCACAAGAGTTAGATGCAATATAAATGCTGGACAAAAAGATTAGCCAAAATGAGGCAGCTGCTTCAGTCAGCACCCCACCAAGAGTGGCAAATCTGACACTACCTCTGAGCCCTCAAAACCTCAGAGAGATGCTACCGTTCTCCAGAGGTAACTGTTTTCTAATTGCTGGGCCACAGCCACTGTATAATGAGCTGATACAGTCACCAACCAGCAAGACATGAATGCAACATATTTTTAGAGTTCAGCTATGGAATTAAAGTAAAAATGGGATGACAGCCTTCAACGTACTGTATGTGCCCTTTAAAATGGATTGGCCCAATTCATGGAGAATATGACTATCAACAGCATTGTAGGGACTTTATGCTGCCTCCAAAGTTCTAGTTGTTTTCATCACCCTCTGTTCTATGTAAACTAGGAAAATGCGTTCAAAAAATTACCTTTTCCCAGCAGTATTCCAGCCACCAGTGCCTTTTCACAAGCAAGACTTTCATTTTCCTGCCAGTTTTTCTTTGCCAAATAAAGACTAAAATGGAAGGATGGCCACCATTCTTTTCTGGCACTCCATTCCTTTTTGAGCCATTTAAACTGCTTGCCAGAACTGGAAGAGGGTAAGAACAGATTAAGTAAATAAGGTGCAGAGTGAAACAGTTGTAGCTCATGTAGGCTTTGCTGGAATACATGTGTTTCTTATTCCATGAGGGAACCGAAGGGAGATTACAGTCATGTGAAAAAAAGCTACACTATCTTTGAATTATATGGTTTTACATTTCAGGACATAGTAAAAATCATATGGTCTTTAGCAAGTCTGAAAATTAGGTAAATACAACCTCAGATGAACAAGAACACAGGACATATTATATAGTGTCATGATCTCTTTAACAAAAATAAAGCCAAAGTGGAGAAGACATGTGGGGAAAAACTAAGTACAGTGGTGCCTCACTTAATGAGCGCACCGTTTAACGATGAATCCGCATAGCGATGCAGATTTTGCGATCGTTTTCACGATCACATTGCAATGTTTTAATAGGTAAAACATCGCATTGCGATGATCGATAAGCATTTCGCTTACCGATCTTCACATTGCGATGTTTGGGAAACAGCTGATCGGTGGTTCCAAAATGGCCGCCGGAAGAAGAAAATGGCTGCCGCAGCGTTTTCGCACCAATTCCTCGCTTACCGAGGCGGCGAAAATGGCAGCCCTATGGAGGATTCCCGCTTAGCTGTAGTTTTCGCCCCATAGGAATGCATTAAACGGAGTTTAATGCATTCCTATGGGGTTTTTCTTTCCGTATAGCGATGTTTCCGGATAGCGACGATATATCCGGAATGGATTATCGTCGCTATGCAGGGCACCACTGTATACTCTTACTGCTTCCATAAGAATTAAGAGGCTAAGTAGCAGCCAGGTGCTCCTTACCAAATGCCTTTGAGTAATTGATCATTGGCAAATGTGGCCAACGGTATAAAAGCTGATGTTTTAGCAGTTTGCTGGTCTGGAGTATTCAGGTGTGTTCAATGCCAAGGAGGAAACACATCAGCAATTATGGTAGAGAAGTAATTGTTGCTGCCCATCAATCTGGGAAGGTTTATAAGGCTATTTCCAAACAATTTCAAGTCCATAATTTGACAGTGAGGAAGATTATTCACAAGTGGAAAACATTCAAGACAGTTGCCAATCTTCCCATGAATGGATGTCCAAGCAAATTCACCCCAAGGTTACACTGTGCAATGCTCAGAGAAACTGCATAAAAACCATCCCAGATTCTACATGCCTAAAGTTAATGTCAGTACAATTAGAAAAAGATTGAATGAGTATGATTTGTTTCGAAGGGTTGCTAGGAGAAAGCCTCTTCTCTCTAAAAAGAACATGGCAGCACAGTTAGGGTTTGCAAAGTTGCATCTAGACAAACCATAAGATTCCTGGAACAATGTCCTCTGGAGAGATGAGACCAACATGGAGATGTTTAGCCATAATGCATAGTGTCATTTTTGGTGAAAGCCAAACACAGCATATCATGTTGTACCAAGTGTCGAGCACAGTGATGGGTGATGATTTGGGCTTGTTTTGCAGTCACAGACCTTGGGCACCTCGCAGTCATAGAGTCCACCATGAACTCTTCTGTATAACAAAGTACAGTAAAGAGTCAAATGTGAGGCTATCTGTTGAAAAGCTAAAGCTTGGCCAAAATTGGCTCATGCAACAGGACAATGATCCCAAGCACACCAGCAAATCTACAACAAAAAAGCTGAAAAAGAAAATAATTAAGGTGTTGCAATGGCTAAGTCAAAGTCCACACCTCATCCTGACTGAAATGCTGTGGCAGGACCCTAAAGAGAGATGTGCATAAACAAACACTCACAAACTTCAATGAACTGAAGCAACATTATGAAGAAGAGCGGGCCAGAATTCCTCCACAACAATGTGAGAGACTAATAAAATCATACAGAAAACAATTTCAAGGTATAGCTGCGAAAGGCTAAAATCATACAGAAAACAATTACTTCAAGGTATTGCTGCAAAAGGCGGTTCTACAAGCTACTGAATCATAAGGTGTACTTAGTTTTTCACACATGGCTTCTCCGTTTTGTATTCACCTAATTTTCAAACCTGCTAAGAATCAGATGATTGTTACTATGTCATGAAACCTAAATCTATAGAATTCAAAGAAAGTGTATATATCTGGGGGCTCATACTTCTTTAAAGCTTATATCATCTCCCAATCCCTGAGTTCTGGTAAAAAAGACTAAGTGGATTCCATAAGACTCAGGTTTTCCTCCCCCACTTGCTCTCCTAAACCTGCTTCTTACAATGCTACTGAAATATGAATGCTTCAAGATTCATTCTGTATTTGGAGCAAGGTGTACCATGTAATTTTATTTAAGCCACTGCAAGCTGGCACTGAATATGACTTGAAAACAGTACTAAAAGTGATTGAAATTTTAGAATGCCACACACTTCTAAAGTTGGGTAAAAATAATAAGATGAAAGTGAAATGAATAATAATGTGGTAACACAGCAGTGAATAAAGTTTACTGGAAATATACCATCCAATGGCTGAAATCCAGTAGTAAGTTCCAGCTATAGTAGGCCCATTTAATCAATGGAATTCAGAGGAGTTGACACACCAAATCCTCACTGATTCTATGAGCCTACTGTGATTACAACTTACTGCTGGATTTCAGCCATTATTAGAAAGCCTCAACATAAAAAAAGGATATTATTCTCCATCAATAGCTTGCGGGCTTCAGATGAGTTCTGAAGGCTGTTACCACCTCTAACTAAGACAACTAAGTTGGCTTTAGGTGACTAGGCATAATAATGGAACTCCAGATACCCAGTTGATTTTGCACCATGAATCTAGTAGCCCTACCACTATCACTGGACATGCCTAGTTCAGTGCTGATGGAACCATCAACAACGAAGCCACTGTCTTCATGATGGAACAATCCTGCCTTTCATTTGCAAAGTCCTCCGTTCGCAATTATAGAAAATCAACAACCAGTGCCTGATAGCCTTTTAAAAACCTTTCATTTGCTCTGAAGCTGTGTATGGCCACAGGACTAAAGCCTTCTTCCTGATAATGCTAGCTCTGAATTTTTGGAAGGCCTTTGCGTGCCAAATACTTGCAGTCGGAGGATGTACGGTAATCCAGCACCAAATCTACCGCATTTACAGCAGAATGTAGTTGGCCATTTACTTACTTCTGTAGGATTTCTACAATCTGTTTTGCCAAATGGCTCCAAGCTCTTGTGTTTTCCTTCCACCCAGCATAGTCTAAGGCAGCAAAAATAACTTCCAGACGTTGCTTGTGGTGTTTACTTTTTTCTGAAATTAGAATAAATCATGCAAAGCATACCATAGCGATTAGAAAGCAATGAGATCTAGTTGTATCATAAGGTTGGCACACAGACAACCACTGTGTCACACATTTGAATCTGATATGACCCAACTCTCCTTATCATTTGGCAAGATCACAAGGCAACCAATGTAAGGATGCCAAAAGGTATTTTCTAGGGAGGGAATTCCAAAGGTGTGGGGATACACCTGCAAATGTACAATCTGCGTGACATTCACAGCAGAGCAGAGCCCAGAGCCTCAGAGGCCCATTTCACCTGCTTCGTATGGGTGCAGTCAGTCTTTCAAATAATTTGTTTCCAAACCATTCCAGGCATTAGACATCATCATTTAAAAATGAGACAGAAAACAGGCAATACTTAGTCTAACATTGATATAATGTGACCAGAAGTATCCTGGCGTGACTGGGTTTGAGTTTAGGTACCACAGCTCCCTTGTCTTCCCCCTTTTTCAAAGGAGAGTCTGAAGGTAAACTTATAAAATCTTCCTTTTCCTTTCTGTGCTGTTTGCACTGCTCTCTTTCTCCCTAATAGGAAGGGTTCTGAACAGGCTTGCATCTCCTATCTGTCTCTTTGATGGATAGTTTCGTGCCGACTATCTCTTTGGTCCAGAGGTCTTCCAGGGCTATCCAGCCGCAGCCTACTGGGAGGTCATCCTCTCCTTTACTTTCTGCTTCTTTCTCCGTTTTGCCTTCTCTACCTCTTTTCCGCAGTCTTTTATCATCCTCTCCTGTCATCAGAAAGCCCTAGATGACTGGTTCTCCTCCTGTTCCTTCAGAGTTCTCGCCTAAGCGTGTTTCACTTATCCAGGGATCTGCCTTTTTCTTGCCTTCATTACCTGCCTGAATTATTTATATCTCTTCTATAAGGAGTAAGAGACCGTAAGGTAAAGATAAAGGTTATATTCGCGAAGGCTTTCACGGCCGGGATCTAATGGTTGTTGTGGGTTTTTGGGCTCTTTGGCCGTGTTCTGAAGGTTGTTCTTCCTAACGTTTCGCCAGTCTTTGTGGCCGGCATCTTCAGAGGACAGCAACCTGTGCTCTGGTGTAGTTGGCTTGGAAGTGCAGTATTTATGGCTGTGAGATAGGCTTTTGTCTTCTTCTGTAGTTGGGTGATTAGTGTGTATTGTTGTGGGTGTATTGTTGTGCTAAGGAGAAGAGATTATCTGTTCCTGTGGTTGATGGGTGTCATTAGCTGGTCTTTTGTGCGTAGTGATCCCCTGTCCTTGTGGCTGGGTAGAGTTCGTTGACCTTTTCCACGTTGTATTTTTGAGAGCTGGGAGCCAAGTTTTGTTGAGCTTCATACTTTCCTCTTTTTTTGTTGAAACTGTGCTGGTGTTTGTGGATTTCAATGGCTTCCCTGTGCAGTCTGAGGTAACGATTGCTGGTGTTGTCCAGTATTTCAGTACAGTATTTTGAAATAGAATTTCATGTCCAGTTTGTTTCAGAGCATGTTCAGCTACTGCAGATTTTTCTGGTTGTTTTAGTCTGCAGTGTCTCTCATGTTCTTTGATTCTGGTGTGGATGCTTCGTTTTGTGGTTCCAATATATACCTGGCCACAACTGCAAGGTATCTGGTATACTCCTGTGGTGGTGAGGGGGGCCCTTCTGTCCTTTGCTGACTGTAACATTTGTTGTATTTTTGTGGTGGGCTTGAATACTGTTTGTAGGTTGTGTTTTTTCAAAAGTTTCCTCATGCGGTCTGTGACCCCTTTGATGTATGGCAGAAATACT